GCTGGGTCTGGGCCAGAAACTCAAGCAGATCTTCCCACATGGGTGCTGGGAACATTGCTCAAGCCGGCATCACTGCCTCCCAGGGTTTGTAGAAGCAGGAAGCTATAATGAGGAGCTGGAGGCAGGAACTGTACCCAGGCTCTGGGGTATGGGATGTGGGCATCTAAACTGCTGTCTTCACTGCCAGGCCAAATGCCAGCACCTGCCCTGCCGTAACTGTCCCTGTCTGTGTGATTACAGCTCTTTGACAGAGATGATTTATCTATCTTCTCATCTTCTATGTAATGTGACTTGCTAAACTTGCAAAACCACACATGCTTCATGTATTATTTTTATTCCTGTTGTGTAGTCTAGTGCCCTATGCGTGACGGTACTTCAAAAAGTTCATGAAAAATGAAATTAAATGATATGTTTATTGAAAAGCAGACAGTTTTTCTTAATCCTTGCAATTTTCCCATTAGCTACATGCTCCACCGATTCTTTGCAGTATCCTTTTAGTTACCGGATGTGCAGTATGTCATAGTAGTTGGACTCTGAGAAGATCCAGGACCTAACAATTAGAATCTCACTTCTCTAATACAGGGGGAATATTTAAAAAAAAAATAAGACACAGCAGCAGCAGCAGGGAAAAAGGTGATTATGAAAGCCTAAGTTGGCAGCTATAGCTGAGGGTGGAGGCATGTGGCATGCTGTCACTGACCACACACCAGAAAACGCTGCCTCTCCCGGTTGGCCTCCAGGCTGCCGAGGGAGCCTTGGACAAGATGCTGCCCCCTACAGGAGGGCCGAGGAGCTCACTGTGGTCACATTCATCTCAGCATGGCCACTCAGAAAAAGGCTAACACCTGCCTTGACCCAGTGTGCGTTAAGGAAAGATCTGGGCTTACACATCTTCACATGAAAGACAGCCTGGGAACAAGGAAAAGAGCTGTCCCCCCTTGACCATGCTTCATTTTTAAGGCATTTGTTTTCACTAAAAGAAAATTTATTTATTTGGAAAGCCAGGAAACAGGGTAGGTGACAGACAAGGACAAAGAATAGATTTCCTTTCCGCTGGTTCACCCCTCCAATGTCCACACAAGCCAAAACCCAGGACCTGGGTACGAACGGAGAGCAGAGCTGGGCCTCCAACCCAGACCCTCCATTCTGGAATGCAAGCATTCATGCAGTGTCAACCTCTGCGCCAAGTGTTCATGCCCGGCGATTACTTGTAAATGATGCTAGCATCCAAGTTATTTGTAAAAATCCCTTTAATCCTTATCCGGGGCAAAGTTTGCTGAAGCAGTCAGAAACAAGAAGTAAATCAATCTATCAAGATGCTATCAAGTTTCAGATACATCTCCGCAATGCTGCCCCAATCCTCATATCACTTTTTCCCTGCAACTGTTCCTGAAACACTGAATGCAAAGCGAGGTGGCTTAAAAAGCCTAAAAGGCTCATGGTAGTAGGATGGATAAATTCTCATTTATTAACTGGCCTAAATCATTTCTTCACCTACAGGTGTGCAAACAGGACCCACCTATAACAGAGGGAAGGACACGTGGTGGAGGGCCAGCTTAGATACAAGATCTGTCCACTCTAGGCGACTAGCCAGGGTGAATGTGCCTGAGGGATTAATGAGGGCAGTTCAGAGAAGAACTTCAGAGCTGTGCCAAGGACTTTTGGGGGCTATAGGAGCCACACTGTAAAGTTTGTAGCTGAATACTTTCCTAACAGTTCCAAGAAGATGTAGTGTTGTGAGACTGAGTCCTGGAGTGCTAACCCCTGTGGATAAATAATGCAATTCCCCATTAGGTGTTGATGGCAAAGGATGGGGCATTAAAGGACACCTTATTTGGGGAACAAAACAGACCTGGGAGCTGGGGACAGGATACAAGGGAGAGTTGGGGCCAGTACTATCGGAATTCTGTTTTAATGGAAATATTAAATGAATGATCTTGGGCTTTTTTTCCCCCATCATATGTCATACTTTTGTTTGATTTCTCCTGGTATTTAAGAATAGCAGGATAATGGGGCCAGAAGCCAGGTGGGACACATCTAGAAGAAATGGATAGATTTTTGGAATAACACAATCTATCAAAATTGAATCAGAGTCAATTAATAACCTAAATAGCTTTGTCACCAGGAATGAGACTATATTAGTAATTAAATCCCTCCCAAAAGAAAAGCCTTGGGTCAGATGGCTTCACTGTACACCAAATATTTCAAGAAGAACTTTCTCCAATCCTTCATAAGCTACCCAAAACAATGAAAAGTGAGGCAATCCTTCCAAATTCTTTTATGAAGCCAACATCACCCTAATACCAAAGCCAGATACAGACAAAACAGAGAAAGAGAGCTACAGCTGACATTCCTGATGAACACAGATGCAAAAACCCTCAACAAAATACTTGCAAATAGAATCCAACAATACTCAGACAGATCATTCAGCTGGACTAAGTGGGATTATCCCTGGCATGAAGGGATGGCTTAGCATAAGCAAATCAATAACTGTGATATGCTACATTAACAAATTAAAAATAAAGCAATAGCATTTCAATAAATGCAGAGAAGACTTCTGATAAAGTCCAACACCACTTCATGCTAAAAACCTTAAGCAATATAGGCACAGAAGGAACACTCTACAACACAATCAAAGCAATATGCAAAAAAAAAAAAACCCTAAATGGGAAAACATTGGAAGATTTTCCACTAAGATCTGAAATGATACAAGAATGTCTACTTTCTGTTATTCAGTATTCGATTCTGTTATTCAATATAGCATCAGAAGTCCTAGCCAGAACTGTTAGGCGGAACAAGAAGTTAAAGGAAGTAATCTGTAGATGCAATCTAATCTCCATTAAAGCAACAACAATGCTGCTCACACAACTACAAAAACAATCCTAACATTTGTGTAGACCCACAGAGACAGCTGTAGAAACAGCCAAAGCAGTCTTGAACAAAAAGAAAAATAAACAGGAAGCACTGATTGTCTGACCCCAAAATACATGTGAAAGCTACAGTCATTAAAACAGCATAGTATTGACATAAAAATAGACTTACAGACCAATGTAAACTCATGTGTGTGTCCCTAGGCAGAACTGCAATACAACTGTTAAGAACATATACTGTGCAAAACACATCCAAAGGTATTGGATGCTTGGTCATCAATACACAGAAGCATGAAACTTACCAGTTAGCTCTGATCATGTTCGCAGTGAAAGATTGAAAGATTGAAAACTTAAACCTAAGACCAAACTATGTCTGAAACCACTAGAAAATAAATGGACAGGAAATGCTTCAGAGCACTAGGTGAGGATATGCTTGGATAAGATTACAAAAGCACAAGGAACAAAACACAAATGGACCATCGGGATTCATTTCCAACAATAAACTTCACAGCAAAGAAAACAATCTGCAAAGTCAACAACACCACCGCCAACAACAAAAAGCAACAAAATGGGGGAACATATTCACAAATTGATCACATGACAAGGAGTTAATACCCAGAATGTTAGGAGCTTAAACCACTCCAACAGTAATAAAAATTGACATAAATCCAATTAAAAGCAGCCCACAGTTCTAAATGGACACATCTCGAAAGAAATACAAATAGTCTCCGGTCACATGTGAAGACAATTAGCATTATCGATCACTGGGCAACATCAAGTAGAAAGAGGAGAGCTCATGGTCCTCTGATCAGACGATCCAAATGATAAAGGGTAACAGGTGCTGGCAAGGTTGTGCAGAATAGAGGAATTTAGCTCATCAAACTATCACATTACACCCACTCACATGATTATCCTATTAAAATAAACTCAAAATACAGGTTTAAAAAAACTGTATAATTTGCACTTAAGAGAGCAGTGCTGACTTTAGGAAGCATTAAAATATTTTAATATTGTAATATTCTGGAGAACCAGAAAGGGAGAATGAAGTAGGTGCCTGCTAGAAAAGCGAGGCAAGGGTTGCCCATCACTGCAAGAGAGGGAAGCAAAGCCAGTGAACAGGCGAAGAGAAGAGAATTTGCAAACAGAAAACAACCTTTACACACATTCCTTTCACCCAGGGTTAAGTAATAGTATCCTGTTTTGAAGTTTAAAAATTTGAGTCACAGAGAGAGGTTCCATGAATTGCCAAATGTCAGCTGGTTAGTCAGTGGCAGAACCAACCATATTCTAGTGACTCCAAATCCATTGTTTTTCTACCTAATTACATTGCAGTCTCTTTTGTTTGAAGCCTTCCAAATCATTTTCAGTCCATCCAAAGATTTCATATCTGCCCAAGTCAATTGGAAATAACACAGCCGGGCCTTGGGTAACCACATTAGTACTTTTTACTTTTCTTAGCATGGCGCTCCCCTCCCAACTAATTACAAACTGCTGTGTTTTAATTACAACAACTTTCAGGATGTTCCACTTATTTCTAATCAGCTCGGCCATGTATGTTCTACCTCTGCTTTTTAGCCCCAGAGTTCTCAACTCAATTGTGCCCCGGTGTGAGTATTCTTGAGGCAGAACCACCACATGAGAGAGTTTAATTCCACAGCAAAACCCGCTCTACCCAACAGTCGGTGAAATCGCTTTCAGGTACCTCTTTTTTGGAAAGCACTGCAGAGCCCTGCTTCTTTCCAAGCCATTTGGAGGCAATTCGTAGGCAAAACAACAATGTGGTCTACATAAAAGTCATAATTCTGATTTCCATGTGTCATCTACATTGTTGCACAACCCCGCAGATTATTCATAGAAACAGAAATGAGGAAAGGAAAGCAGTGCTGCAGAACGTTTTGGTTCAACAAACATTGAGCTCCCCTTATCAGCTGGATGCCTAGCATCAATTGCTTATTAAAAAAAAATGCACATGATGGAATAGTCCCTTCAATGATGTGTAAAGAGGCAGTAGGATTAGCAAGGCAGTTGAGCCATTTGGATACATAAGCCAAGGGCCAGATTTGTTTCCCCATTAAGAGTCACCTCCCAATGACATGTTTAGCAAACGACAGATGGTCTAATTTTACTTACTTCTGTGTCATCATTGGTTGCTCTTCTTCTGGAGTACACAGGCCTCCTCTCTTTCTTGCCTTCTACCTCCTCAGAAACATCCTGTGCAACCAGAAGAGACCAGGCAGAGAATAGGTGAATATGGATAGGACTTGCTATCATTATCTTAATCTCTTCTCTGTTACTTTAACTAAAACACTTCAGAGGAGTACCTCAGAAGGGGAGACCATCATTTTGGCTTACAGGAGATGCACAGTACAAGCGTTGGTTGGAGACTGGCAGCAGCAGCGGCACCAGAACGGGTGCACCAGGAAGGTTGCGCGTGGAGCCGGGTTGCCGGCAGGCTTGTATGTACAGGCTCGGCTTATAGTTCCAACTCCCTCGCCAGAAGGGCCTTTGCTAGAGCACGCCCCAATCAGCTGAACACCTGCTACTGCAGCCCACCTCTCAGACCCCATAATGAGTTATTGTCTCCACCTTGAATTCATCAATGATTCATGGAACAACTGAGGGTTTAAATGTCTGCCTGAGTTAGGGTGGCCAAGCCTTGTTCACTCCATAATCTGACAAAGTTATAAATATGGTAGCCTGCTTTTCTTTTTTCTTTTTTAAGGTTTTTTTTTTTTTAAAAAATTAGAAGGGCAGATTTACAGTAAGAAGGAGATCCAGGGAGAAAGGTCTTCCACCTGCTGCTAGTTCACACTCCAAATGGCAGTAATGGTCAGAACTGAGCAGATCTGAAGCCAGGAATTTCTTCTGGATCTCCCATATGGATGTAGAGTCCCAAAGCCTTGGGCCATCCTCCACTGCTTTCCCAGACCACAAGCAGAGAGCTGGATGGGAAGTGGAGCAGCTGGGACATGAACTGGTTCATGTGAGGTGAGGATTTAGCCATTGAGGCATGACACCATTTTGCCAGAATGCATTCATTCAACAGCAAACATTCTTCGAGGGTCATTACAAGCCACGACACAGGTCCAAAGCTTTGATGAAGAGTCCACGTCTGCCTCAGGAAGCTGATGGAGATAAAACAGCCAAGTGATGAGTGAGCTGATGCATTGTTCTGGGTACTGGTGTGAGGCAGACAGGCTGTTGACACCCACAGCTGTCCTGGCAGGGCCAGAGGAGGGTCATGTGTGAGTGAGACCTAAGTAGGTGTTGTCTATGCAAAAAAGTAGAGAACAACACTGTAAGACTACAGAGTTGAGATTCTGCTGGACATAGAGAGGGTGTCAATGAGTGAATAATAAAATCTGATCCTGGAAACAGAAGCAATGACTTCAGGAAACACTTGGGACAGTGGAGCTTTCAAGTCAGCAGAGACCAGAGTCAAAGCAAGTGGACCCAGTCAAGCTGAGCGACATTCACCCCCACTATGGCTGAACTTTGAGAGCCATAGAGAAATGGAGGAAAGGCGGAATTTCTGAGTGTCTACTCTATGCCTGAAACCACATATTACCTAATCACGTTCTCAGGCAAACTCTTCACAGGGTGTTGTCAGCACTATTCATAGCAGACAGGCATGAGCACCATGTCTGGGGTGCAGACCCAGGTCTGACTCCAAAGCTTTTATCCTGTCCATCTACAGCCATGATTTCAGAGCAGGCGGTCAACCCAGGCGGGGTAGGCTTTAGTAGACTGGACAGAAGTTAGAGAAGTTTTATTTTCCTTTCAAATATTGGTTGAAAGGCAGAGTCAGAGAAGGAGATACACACTCCCACAAACACATACATGCACAGCTTGTCCTTCCACCCACCAATCCACTCCCTGGTTCTTCATCCAGTCTCCCACATGGATGCAGACACCTGAGCACTCAGGTCACGTTTTACTGCTTTTCCAGGTACAACAGGGAATGGGACCAGAATTGGAATAGCCAGGACACAAATGTGCATCCGTGTGCGACGCCAACAATTCAGGCAGCAGCTTAATGTGCTGTGCCTCATGCTAGCCTTCTGTAACCACGGGGAGGCAGAGTGACAGCAAGAAAACACTTCCAAGGACTTAACCATGTCTTAGAAGAGATGCTGACAAGCTGCTGGAGGTGTGATAGGTATAAGATCCTAAGTCAAAGTCTAGAATAAACTAAAGCAAAACCTGATTTCTGTGTAGAGCTAGCATTTGAGATAGAAACATAAAACTCTAAAGAAGAGAACAGTTGGGCGTGGCACAATGGCTCAATGGTTTGAATCCTCAACCTACAAGTGCTGTGATAACATATGGCCACCATGTTGTGTCCTGGATGCTCCTTTTGCCATCCAGTTCCCTGTCTGTGACATGGGAAAGCAGTAGAAGATGGCCCAAAGGGAGACCTGGGAGAGGCTCCTTGCTCTTAGCGTCACCTTGGCTCAGCTCTGGCCATTTAGGGAGTGAAAGAGTGGATGGAAAATATTTCTCTGTCTCTCCTCCTCTGGGTTTCTAATAAAAATAACTAAATCTTTAAAAAAAGATAATTCACTTTCCTCTAGCCCTTGAGCTTTCGTACCCTAATCAAATATGTAAAAATTATCAAAAATTAATATAGTTTAAAAATAAATAAAAGGGTTATTTCGGAAAAAAGAAAAAGATAACCGTTATGAGAGGGGCAGGTTTTACAGTGAAAAGTGGCCAGAGAGTGGCTCCAGCGATTGGGTGATAATATGGGATATTAGGTTAGTTGGTTGCTACACTGTAAATCCCATACGTGGCCCTGATTCTGCGTAGCAGGGTGTCCCACCTCACAAAGCCTTGTGCTTGAGACAGACTGCTGTGTAAGGTCCAGGAAGAAGAGAAGTGTTCGGTGTGGGGGAGAGGAAGCAGACAGGAAGAGGGAACAGAGAAAAGGGAGGCTTACAAACGGGGGATCAGGAACTAGCCAACAGCAGCTAAATTATAAACGGCCTGCCCATATGTCAAACATCAGTGCAGAAATTGAGTTGTTGAATGGCTCACCACACCAGAAATGAGGATCCAAAAGCAGTTTCATGTAAATCTTATAAGGGCACATTGACCTTAGCTGACATTGGTCTTCTGAAAAGACAACATTTCTAATAGAGCAGCTCCAAGGATTAAGCAAGTGAACTTGGGCAGCAGTTAACTTTCCTCCCCTAGTAGTGTGAGGGAGACATCACACACACCCCAGGCAGGGCAGAGGGAGAAGGGATTCAGTTGCTTACTGGTGACAGACTATTTAACTGCTGGTCTCTCTCCCACCTGTGAGAAGACTAGTTCTAAGTTCCTACATAGATGAGGGTATGTCCAGGCAAATAGGACTTCATTTTGGGAGGCAAGTGTGACACATGTGAGTGAATACGAAATCCACTCAAACATATTAAAGTGAACCATTAACATCTAAGAGAAGATGGGTGCTTTCAGACACGTTTGAGGTTCCATGCCAGTTTGCTGCTCTGTGTCCTACTTTTGTGTAACTAGTCACTTGGTTCCAGTGGAGTTGCTTTCAGAGCAGATGTTTCTATGTGCATTCCCAGTAACAGCACTTGCCATAAATGGGGCGAACCAGTTTAGACTTTCTGGCCTTTTGAGATTTCTGCCTAGACTTTGCCACCCTTCAGCCTTGCTCTTGTCTGATGGCCACAGGGCTGGAGATTTCCTCCTAGGAATAACTCATCAGAGTCAGGAGAAAAACCCATGAGACACAAAGGGTAAAGGGAGAAAGAAAAGACAGAAATCTAGCAAGAAAATCAACAACAAGCATACCCCTTTCCCAGCATGGTCAGAAAAGGCAACCTTGTAAAACTTTAAACATTAGACCACCATTTGCAAGACTGATGTATGCACCCATGACTGATACAAGTAGTAGATTATCGTATAGTTTTAAAAACAAGCTCCTAGCTCTTCTCTCAAAATGTGCCCATAACTGTCCGTATATGCAATAAGGAAAAAAGCACCTAATATGGCATCCTACTGATGGTCAGGTTTCACATGTCAGCCAGAGATGAAGATGACTTTGGTACATGACACCCACACACCAACCATAAATGTACAAAAGTGCAACGTATTGTCTTGCATTTCAGTAAGTATTTCACCACCCACTCACATGGGGCCATACTGACAATACTCCGAGTCACAGGCGAGGAGGAGGTTGCAGAGGACCCAGACCCCTGACCCATACTGTTGCTGGCCCTGCACAATTGACTGTAGCCCTCAGACACTTCCTCTATTTGAATTGAGAATAAGCTTTTTCCTTTTTGGAACCAGTTTAGGAAGATATTTATGGCATCCCTCCCTCCCAAACCACCCACGTGTCACCAACCTCCCATTAATATAACCACACAGGTCCAACCCTTGAGCGTAGGTCAGAGAAGTCAAGGAATTCTGTATGTGCTCCAGAGTAGTTTCCCTTTGTATGAACTAGAAACAGATCTACAACCACGCCTACTAAGTGCAGAGTACTGAATCTTGTGTAATACACTCCTAGGCTCTGAGAATGTTTTCCCTTCCCCAAGAAACTACGATCATACGTGGTTTTATTTAACAAGCATTTCTTTGCATCTCTTCCCCATGCTGGATATTGTGACAAAAAGTTTAAAATATTATCCATACTGTCAGAGAGCTTAGCCTAGTGAATACGTGTTCATGCAAACAAGATTAACATGCAATAAATTTGGGTGATAACCATCTGAAGCAGCAGTTGAGCCATCACTCAGGTTAACTGCAACTCACTGAATTTCCTAGGTTTAAGCCCCTGTTCTGCTTCTGATTCAGATTCCTGCTAATGTGCATACTGCGAGGCAGAGGGTGATGGCCAGGTACCTGCTTTCCTGCCATCCACCTGGGATATCTGGCTGAGTTCATGGCTTCTGGTTTAGGTCTTGTCCAGCAATAGCTGTTGCCCATACTGGAGGAGAGAAGCAGCTGATGGGAGCTCTGTCTCAGCCTCCATCTCTCTCTTGTCTGTGTAAATCAAAGTTTAACCAAATCACCAAAGGGTATATGTGTGTCATGTCTCTAGGCTTGCTTGCTCAGTCTTGTAGGGAAAGGTCTCACAGGCAAAGGTGGTGACAATACAGAAGCTTATCTGATGCTATGCAGGTGACAGCCATTACAGAAGGAGAGAGTCGTTTGCTGCGAAGATGGGTATCAAAAGGTGGAAAACATGACTTTGG